TGAATCTAGAATGTGAAGCTTCATCATCCATGCTCCATGGACCCAGAAATAGGAGAACAAATAAGAGACATTTATTCTGTTTTCTGTTTACAGTTCCAGTGCCCAGATATGCCACTGCAGCTACAAAGAAATTCCTGGTCAGTACCAAGTTGGAGAATGTTTAACAGCTTAACAACAGTGAACAACAGCTTAAGCTGTTAAGCAAACCGGAGCATGTGCTATTTCTGAAGGCTTATAATTTGGTCAAGTTGGGTGAATTTTCACAAGGAAGGTAAAAGGGCTGTCTCTGGTAATTTTCAAGTTCCCAAACCAAAGCCCAGGGAGATCACAGCATTGCGAAGAAGAGGCTATCAAAAATTAACACAAACAAAAACCATTTTTAAGCCACCCAACTTTCTTTGAAATGGGTTAACTTTTTGACTGAAAATTTCCAGAAAATTCAGCTAAATAGACTCTACACCAAAAGTTTCAGACAAGGGATTAAAATGTGGCAAAAAAATTGGATTACGGACTTGTTTCAACAGAACAGGGGTGAAACGCATTAAAGGGGCAGTGAAATTAAGTTTACATGGCTACAATCTGAGCTGCAACTACTGAGCTATTATTACAAAGCACTTAAGTTTCAAGGACAATAAGTCAGGTATCTTTCATGAGCAGTTTTATCAAAACACAGAAGTATCATGGAAAATAAAAATGAAACAATGACACCCATCATATAACCACATGACTTAGGGCAGTATTAACAATTACCATACAATTAAGTGAAATAGGCTATTGATATACTGAAGAATACAGATCAATTTTCTATTATTTATACAGGATGGTACAAGATATTTATCTTAGTGTGCACATACATGTGACATTTTAATATTCAATCGTGATGAATCAATACTATTGAACCATAAATCTACCAAAGATAATAAAGATTAGGAATGTCGAACTCCGATGGCCTGGCAGACCAAATGAGTAACGCAGGGCCAGTCCGTAGGCTAGATCCAGAACACAGTTTTAAGCTGGCCCACAGGGCTGGAAATTTGGCAGCAGTATTAGTCGTCATGGCTCCTGGAGCCCAGATAGCCACCATTCCTCCTATCACCAAATTTCCAGCCCCATGGGCAGCCCCACACAGAGGATAATATAAAACTGCACTCTAGACAGTGCCTGTTGGGCTCCTGATGTGGCTGGAAATTTGGCAGCCAAATGATAAACAGACGTATCAACTGCCACAGCTTCTAGAGTCCTGATAGCCCCTGATTTTCCTGTTGCCATATTTCTACCTACATGGGCCAGATGCCCCTGGTATAAACCAATTATTAAAGTGATACTAGTAAAATAATTAAATATATATTTAAGCAGAAATTGGTATTTCCTGAGTCTAGATGATATAAAGGAGTGATAAATCTAGTTGAAGTCATCTGAGAGGGTGTCATTCTAAAGTTGTACCGAACATAGTATATTGACCATACTGCCTGATTTCTATAAAATAAAAGTGTAAGAGCTGTTATTTTGGGGGCTGCTTCCCCCTAATCAAAGTGAGACAATTAACAAATTTGTAATTGCATGCAAGTTGAAACTTCTTGTTCATTTACAGCACTGAATATACCACTCATTTTTATTTTGTTTTGCTACTCTATCCATATTGCTTTTAAAGTACTTACAGAAATACTTCCTTTCCAGTGCTACAAAACAGTCATCTCCCTCCTACATTTGAAGACTAGCAAACTTCTTGAAATAACGTATTACAAACTGAAATGAACAAAGCACCTGAAATAAAGGGGAAAAACTATCTTTCTTCATTGCTGTGCTTCTACTAAAAAGTATATTTGATACAGCAGGCTTGTCCAACATAAGGCCCGTGGGCCACCACGGCGCCTGCCAAGCCGCCTTCTGAGGCCGGGTGCTGTGACGGGAAACAGAAGTAAACATGGTTTACTTTCATTCCCACCCCTTGTCCCTCCCCCAACCCCTCAGCAGCTTCCTAATGGCTGCTGAAGGGCTGGGGAAGGGACAAGGTTCCCCACACACACCGCGTCAGTTTGACATTGCAGACGCAGCACGTGTGGGAAGAGGAGTAGCCATGTGCTGCTCAGGACAGGATGAGCCCAACTGGAGCAGCAGGGGCTCAGCTGCACTTTCCCCCTACCTGTGCTGGTCAGTCCCAAGCGGCACACAGCTCCACCGCCACTTCTGCTAGCTGGTGCTGACCTGGGCGGGTCTGTCCTATCCAGAGCAGCACACAGCTAAAGCTGGCTTCCCACATGCTACTGGGGACAGGAGGAGCCCAGCCAGGTCTGCACCAGGCAGCAGAAGCAGTGGCGGAGCCGTGTGCCGCTCAGGATAGGATGAGCCTGGCTGGAGCGGCAGGGCCTGAGCTGTACTTTCCCCCTGCCTGCACCGGTCAGTCCTAAGCGGCACATGGCTCCACCGCCACTTCTGCTCCCTGGTGCCAACCCAGCCAGGCTCCTCCTGTCCCCAGTAGCATGTGAGAAGCCAGCTTCAGCTTTGTAATACAAAGAACTGCAAGACTAAAGAATTTTGTGAAAGAACACGCAAGATCTTTGCAAACATTTCTCTTACATTTTAGCCAGAGAAATAATTAAAACTGACAAACCATAATTTGCTTCTAACTCCTGACCCCACTGGGGGCAGAATACCACAGAAAGGACAGGGACAGAAGAATGAAGCAGCAAGGAAATAAATAAAGAAATAAATGGATAGGGAGTATGTTGGTGGCTACAAATATAGTCTGTGGAAAGAGGTTAGGCTTTTGTTTCTCATGAAAGCAGACTATGAGGGGATAAACTCTTGAACTCCTAGGTCAAAAAAATCTTTTTACATCTTTCATGAAGTGCTGGGTGAAGAAAAACAGCTGACTGGATAAGAAAGGTCAATACAAATACAGAGCGAGTATAAAAAGGGAAAATAGATCCAAGACAATCACAAAGAAAGAAAGAGTGCTCTCAAAGGACCAAATTAAAAATGAGAAAAAGGAAAGAAACATAGAAAAACAAAGGAAGGAATAAGGTAGAAGTAGAATGAAAGCAGAGGTGCATCGATAAAAAGATTTTCTTGGTCGATACAGATAGAGGATTATTTAACCAGCCATATTGGCCAATACTGATCCAACGACCGATTTACAGGAACGAAGCCAGGCAGGGGGGAGAGCAGCACCCTGCAGGTACGTTTGTGGAGGAGAAGGGGCATGGGGGGAGAGACATGGCGTAGGGAAGGCAGATTGAGGCCCCCACAGTGAGGGAGGGAGTGAGGCAGGTGGCACTGCCTACCCAGGGCAGTGAATGAGACCCAGGGCTGAAGCACAGAGCAGGATGAAACCATGGACAGCTCATCCAGAGGATCAGTGTCCTGGCACTTAAAAATGGTGGTGGGGGCATTTGAACTAAATCTTGTCAAATGAGCTTTAGTTCAAGCACCCGTGCCACTATTTTAAAGCGCTGGGACACTTAACTGGCGTGAAGCCAGGCGGGCTGCCCGATGTGGGCTCAGGGCTCTCTGCCCTGCTGCCTTTGCCCCAGAGGCTCCGTATCAGCTGTGCATCCCCTGCCCACCCAGCAGCAGGAGGCACAACTTGATGCCTCACTGCTTCTAGGCAGACAGGGGACACATGGCCAACACAGAGCCCCTGGGGCAAAGGCAGAGTGGAGAGCCCCAAGCCCACCCACATCTACCCTACAAACAAATCTCAGGGAGATGGGAGGAACATGCCCTCCACACATGCCTCCCCCAGGGGGTGAATCCAGCAGCAGGGAGCTACCCCCCACCCCAAACCCACGGACGAGCCTCTCACAGCTCCATCCTGCTCCATGACCCATGTCCTATTCACCCCCAGCCCATGTTGCACTCCCTCCCTCACTGTGGGGGCCTCTATCTGCCCTCCCCCATGCCCCTTCCCCTCTACAGACTTACCTGCAGGGCGCTGCTCTCTACACTGCCCAGCTGCATCCCTGGCCATATGCATGTGTGCATCTGTGCAAATGCACGTGATATCCAGGGGTCCCGGCCAGATGGCATATTATATTTATCGGTGACATTAATCAGCTACCCCGGCCAAAAGAAGCCAACAGCCGATAACATTAATTTTTCTTTTACAGGTACCAATCTAATATGGCACTGATATAATCAGCACACCTCTAGAAAAAAGATGCATTTAATACCAAGGAACTTTGAGAAAGATAGAAAACCTGACTTCCAAATTTTGTAGGAAAACTCATACAACTCTTGCATGAAAACAATAAAATTTTTATCCATTTGAACAAGTGGAAAGAATTATAAAAACCTAGCAACTGAACTCTGAATACAGAGATTCACCTAAAAGTTCTAGCAATAGGGCATTTTATGCCTAAGGCTCCAAGAATCAGTTTGCTCTCATATCCAGAGCTAATAATAAAGTTAATTGCACCTAAAGCATAAATTTGTCCAAAAGGTAATCACTTGATAAACTATATATGAAAATGAAAGAGTCTCAAGCAACCAGTCAACTAATATACTTGTCAGGAGAAGAACACCTTCGTTAAATTAATGAAATAATTTAATGAGTTTAAGCCAGTGGTTTTCTACTCCTTAGACTCATAACACTTCTTGGAAAATGCCAGCTCTTAGAAGTTTTTACTTTTAAGAACTTAACAATTCTTCTCTTGCAAAATAACCTCAGAAAGGCCATAAAAAGCCAGAATGTTTTCACTACAGACCTCCAACTGAAATCTCTGCATTCATCTTTTATATCATGTGTGGTGTTTGCATGCCTAACAGTGCTAATACTGAGCAGCACCCTTAAAAGGATTTTATGGCATCCCAGGGTGCTGCAGCACCATAGTTAAGAACCACTGGTCCAAGTTAAAATATACTCTTCCAATATTATTAAAATTACATGCTTTAGATCACATTTTTCATGTGAACCACAACGCATGCAATATATGCTCAGCCAAAGGCATATATGTACCTGGAACATTTTGAAAAAAGTATATCAACTTTAAAATACTTACAGTACACTCTTGCATTTCCTGTTCTTTAGTTGCCAGCCTCATCACCAGAATATTTTCCCTTCGGGCAGATTCTTGCTGTTGCTGTTTCAACTTCTCTTCAGACTCTCTCAATCCAGTCACATCGTTAGCTAATGTGAGTGTTAAAAGAAAGTAAGCACAAAAATTTGTAGTTCCCTTTCAAGAGCACTTTCAAAATAGCAAGGGTTTTACAAAGCATCAACTGCTTACCTTACCTACTTCAAAACCAAGAAGAAAAAAAAAAGGAAACATCTAAGGTCACAGCATCAGGATCTTTCTGATATTAGAGCCACTACAGCAAGTTTTAAATTCGTCTCATCAGTCCCCCCAGTAAGATCGTTTCTGCTAAACTTTTGTTGAAATGTTGAACATTCATTATCTATAGTCTCATGTTGTAAAGCGTCATTGTAAACAAACTATTCTTCTTTTCCATAATTCATATGCTGCCAATAGCACGGATGTTAATATAGTATGACTGGGGGGAATTGGCAACTAAGGAATAAGCATCAGTACTATTCAATTTCTAAACAGCACTGCTGTAGACAGTACTCAAACTGGAGCATCAAAACACCACAGCCATAACCCAAGACATAAGGCGACTTGAGAAATGGGAGTTCAACTGCATTTAGAAGTTTCATTCCAAAGTACAAGCCCACAATAGCTTAGGCCGTATGTAGACGAAACGAGTGCTACACTTTAAAGCGGGTTAAATGTTTTTCCACTGCTTCAATGGTGTTGGTGTTTGCATGTGCTGGAGGCATATTGCTGCCATAGCAAACTCCTTGGAGGAGTTTTAGATTGATGCACACCTAGCCACGGAGCAAAGCACTGGGCTCCGTGCAGCTCAGGAGCTCTGCAGGAAGCTCGTGCAGGCAGCCTGGCAGCAGCCCAGGAAGGCAGGCTCTTCCCAAGAAAAGTGGCAAGCCTGATCTTTTTATTTCCACCCCACTGCAGCCTGCCTGCTTTCCTGAGCTGCACAGGGGCCTGATGCTTCATTCCACAGCTAGTGCCCCATGGGACCACCTGAGCTGGGTGCCAACAGGCAAGTGCTGCCACTGCCTGAGGGAAGCACCAGCCCCGCCCCTGCAGCCCAGAGACTGCTCCACCTGCCGGCAGCTTGCCCTCCCCTCCCTGCTGCCAGATTGGCAAGTAAGGTCAGGTGTATGTACTACACATGGGTTTAAAGGGCCCTAAACTGAAGCAGTGTTTTTAAAAACCCACCACTTCAGTTTAGGGCCCCTGTTTCGTCTACACACACCCTTATATAAATGCTCTGATGTGCCAGAATTAAGTGTCAGATATGCATCTTGCTTCTAGGGAGCAGTAACAGAACTTTTGCCAATGATTTCACTAACAACAGATACAGGTAGAGCAAATAGAGGAGCATATATTTTTAGTATTTATCCTCTAAAATGAGAAGGCATTGAAACTTACTTAAATATGGTTATTATAACTACATGAATATTGGTTTCTGTTAATGCAAATTAAAGAAAAGCTTTAAAAAAAACCTGTTCTGGGACAAGGATTTCTAAAAAAAAAAAAACAAGTGTACTGTATATGCATTATCTGCAGTAGTTTTAGTTACTGATCACTAGCGCACATGTGAAATGACAGAAGCATTTTACAGTGAAAACTTCTGTGGGGTTAGGATGGTCTTATTTACAAAGCAAAACTGGAGTGAGTGAACTGTTTTACCTTTGATCAAAACACCAATAAGCATCCAGTCATTCAGGTTTTTTGTTTTTTAAAGGAGAAAAAGCCATTTTGAAGAGTCATTGACAGCAGCAAAAATGTTTGAGATTACTAAGTGGAGAGGAGCAGTAAAAAGCAACTTCCCAAATTAAGGAGTCGGGGCACAAACTCAGTTACTACAGATGGTATCTAACTGCAAAGGGGAGTTGCAAAGCAACCAAAAGTTGGGTTGCAACAGAACAGAAACTAAGAACTACTGGGCACAAAGGAGAGAGGCCCTTCTATTACCTGTGAAGCCAATTAATAAAACAACCAAATCTGGTAGCTCAGCACTTCCTAAAACGTGTTCAACTTTCCCCATTAAGAGTAGGGCTGAAGTTTCCTTTCAACTCCTCTTTAAAAAAAGAATAAATGAAGCTACAAACAGATACACATTTGAAGATCTTCAGTGCTGTACAGCCTTGTGGCTCGATAGGAAGATTCTCTGCATGCCTTTCAAGCTCCAGAGACTGCAGAAACAGCAGAGAGTGATCAGTGCCTGTGACCCTGCTCTACACCCTTGCTGAGGAGCACAGCATGTGGGAAGGTAGGGGGAAGAGAACACTGTGGGATACCAGAGAACCAAGCAACCCCTTCTTCCATCATGTCATAGAGCATATAGATGCTTTAGGAAGCCTTTTAAAAGAAAACACTCCAAAGATGTTCCTTATTTATTGAGAATCATTTTTTAAATGCTTCTTCGGCTATGAACGTTATGCTTACTGTGTGGAATGCTTCAAATGTAACATCTGTCCAGATTAGAGAACTCTATTAATATATTCAGCTATGAAGGCCTGTAATTAGAGTATGTTTAAATTAAATACGTAATTAGAATAAAATTTTTTAGTGATATATTTTGAACTTCTTGGCTGCATCCAGGTGAGCACAGACATGCAGTATATAGTAGAGGTGCACCAATACATCATTCCATATCATAATTGGCACCAATAAAAGGAAAAAATTGACATTATCAGCAATTGGCTTTTTTTGGCTGATGTGGCCGATAACGTCACTGATGAATGCCGCACACATGCATAGTTGCAACATGCATGCTGCCAGTGTGGCAGCTTGAACAACAGTGTCCAGCTAGTAAGTCTGTTGTGGGGGGGGGGGGGGGGGGGGGGGGGGGGGA